TGCCTCATTCAAATGTTATTTTTACATAGTATTTTTTCCAAATGAACTTTAAAAAAATCACTATATTATAAATGCACAGAAAGTGAGAGAGTAGTAATTGTACAGCTGAATGAATATCTTAGCCTAGGGCTTCTAAAGCCAGAGCCAATGTCAGGGATTAAAGTGACAACATTTTTTTGGGAAGGCAAGTTCAGCAACAGGGAGGACATGTGGAAATTGAGGCAAGAGAGGTGGAACAGTGTGATGTGATGTATGACCTGCTGGTGGCCACTTCATAGTGAGGTAAGACATGGCAGGGTGCTCAGCTAATGTGTTCACTTGGTCCCCAGGACTTTTCCAGAATGGTTACAAGGGGATCCATATTGAGCATAAGTCCGTGGAAGAGGGAGAGAAATATGAATTTTTCTTCTTGACTTCTTTGTGTCTTCTATTTCCCATTGGCCAGGGTTTACTTGAAGCAGAACTAACATCTCTCTTATTCTGCCTTATATCATCCAGACCCTTGGTGGCCTTAGAAAGTCAGATCCCATGTCCACAGTGTGGTCTTCCATTCAAGCCCAAAATGGAAGAATGATCTGGATCAGGCAAGGTGCTGACCAAGAGAATAGAAAATAGTCAAGAGAACTGGAGGAAGTCCCCAAGTTTGTGTCCAGTATAGTCCTTGAGGACACAATTCAATCCATCCCAGAAGCTCAATTCTCAGTTGATATACCAACCAATCAAAAACTGGTGGAACAATACTATTATTAAGTAAAATACTTTTTCAGGTGAAATATATCAATATTTAAAGAGAGATATTTGAACTAATAAAAGAAAACCACAATAAATCAAACACAATTATTAAGGCCAAGAGTGCTTTTAAAAATGTAGTATTAAAATAAACAAATCAAATTTTTTCTAATGCTCAAAATGCTGAATGAATACACAATACAAAATTTAAATGTTTCACAAGTGGATAAATCAAGTAGAATTAGTAGTTATGAAAAGGATGTCAATGACACAATTAACCCATTTAATATAATAGATAAATGTAGAGTTCTTCACCAACAGAGGATACACAATCATTTCAAAGAAATATTTAGCTTTTATAAACATAGAACATTTAATAAGCTGAAAAATCCACAATAAATGTCAAAGAATGGCTATTACATAAAATATATTCTCTTATCACCATAATTTAATAATAATATAAAAGAATAATAATAGTAATAATATTAATCATGTTAATATTGCATAAGTTTGGAAAATAAATTACACCTTAATTCAATCATGAGGGAATTT